AGTATTGTAAACCATTATCCAATATTAGATTTGTTTCTCCGTTACAGAAAATAAATGAAATGGCTCGTAGTTATTTTTTAAATTTTGAAACGGACCAATATCTATAAAAATAAGTTGCTTAAACCCAAGGCTTAGGTAATGGTTAAGAATTATAAAATAGTTAATAAGTAATTATGTCTTAATTACTGAAATAAGACCTTTTCAAGAACTTTATATGATTGATATCTAGAAAGTATAGAACTAAAATTGCTTTTGTATTTTTCCTAAAGCCTCCTAGTAAGGTCATGCAATGTTAACACATTCCACAAATATTATGGGATCTCGAGTCTCTTGAATTGAGTGACTTGATCCTGCCCACATATATACACACCCAAATATTACCTTCTAGAAGGAGTTTCATCAAACCTCTTGCATATAAATCTGGGAAGAAAGAGTTCTATATGAGCCAAAATTTAATTTTTCTCAGTATTTTTTAAACCTTGTGAAAGCTGTCAGCAGAGTTGCAACCTGATTCATATTTTAAAATTTTCCTTCATTTTGTATGTCCTTTTCCTTTATTATGCAGTTTCAACAGTAACTCTTTTAAACCTACTAAAATTTTAAACACCTTCTTTACTTCACACTTAGATTACTTCAGAATCAAAGAATTTTTTTGTCTGTGTGATTGACTAGTGTGTGAGGATGAAAGGCATATGTTCCCTGGGGGATATACAGAGATAAGGGTCAGGAGCAGCCACACTATGTTGTAAATTCACTTTGTGCCCTTTGAGTGTTGCCGTTTCCATTTTGATCTCATGAATTTAGATTCACATATTATGAACAGAAGCCTATTGACAGCACACAAAAGGAGCATCATATTTCAGATGTAAAACCATACATGTATTATAATGGTTTATGGAAAAATTCAGTTCCTGGTTATCTACTATTATAGATGGGTACTCTGGATAGGTACTGTTATGTTAAATTAATTTGAGTTTCATTTTCTACCTTTGAGTAACCACATTTTAAATCATCTTGAGAAATTCTAAAACTGCTTATAGTAATTGTGAACACATAGTTGGCATCAATTCTGTGAAGAAGCAGACAGACATTTATTGAAAGTCTGCCATGTGCCAAATATGTTTGTTATTTGTAAAATACATATATTTCTCCTTTAATATTTTTTTAAAAACCTTCAGAGATGTAGGGATGAAGACACTGAACCTTGGAGGTTTTGGTGCCAAGATTCAAATGGAACTAACCTGAACACTCGCATTCTTAACACATTCCAGATGATTTTTAGATTTAGAACATCATTACTCATGTACACTTGACCTTAATCTCGATATTGTGAAGGGCTTTGCATAATACTTGGTACATAGTAAACACTCAATAAATCATATGTATTGTTATCTATCACTCTTGGATGTTTTTCTTCTCCTTCCGCATTTTTCTGTTTATTGCCTCTGGAACATTTTTTAAAAAAAATTATTTCAGTTTCACCTTAATAGAATGACAAGAGTGGGAAGAAAAAATTAAGCAAATCCAAAAACAAAAGAGAAAATTAAGAAATGTGGAAGAACTAGAGATAGGAAGTAATACTTGCCCATAGGATGATTGTTAATTATCACATTTGATTTGTTATATCTCCTCGGGTTTTATTTTATTCCCAGGTTATATTTAGATAACAGCAACAGTAGGGTTTTAACAAAGATTTAAACTGTCGGATATGCATGTAGGTGCCAGTTTCTTAGTATATGGACACATCTATCCATTCCTTTTCCTAATCCTTCTCATTCAAATAAAAAACATTTTGTTTATATTAATTAGTTCTACCATTTTGAGGTAGGATATTCTGCCAAAATAGTTTTTTGAGTCGTCCCATGACATCAAACATAATAGTTGCAAACTGAAATTCTTTGTCTTTTATCCTTCTTCACCACATACTCCCTATGTCCTGTAATCTCCTTTTTAATGTGATGCTAAAGTTCCAGTGTCTGAGGCAGAAGCCTATGTCACTTTTTAGTCTTCTCTCCTGGGTCCTTTTTTATGTTTTCCCAAAAAACTGTCTCTTCATTTCCCTGCTTCCCATTTGTGTACACTACAAGCACCTGATCTAGTTCCTCATCACTTCAAGCTTGAGTCCTCTCCCAGTCTTTCAGCTGGAATATTTCGTCTTCATCTCTTCATTTTAAAAATATCCCACATATTACTGGCTTCCTAGAACAAGTTTTTATGACATTAAAAAAAATTCTCTGTTTAGAAGCCAATAGTCGTTCTTGTTTAGGCTGCTTTGCCTAGATTATGGGTATATTCAGTCTTTCCTTATTTCCTTACTGAGTTCGCTGCTAATAATATATATTCTTTTCTCCAGTTAGATGATGTTTTTAATAAGAATGACATTAATTCTGTGGAGCCTGCTATGTGCCATAATTGTTTGACATGCTTCACATTTATTCTGCTATTCCCATTTTTAAAAAGCTAAATGAGGACCTGTAATGTGGTCAGTATACTCACAACCATCAATGACGGACTGTTAATGAGTGCTCACTAAATGCTCTTTTTCTGCATTGCAGTTCCTCTTCCCACATGCCGTGCTTAGTTCCACCCTTTATCCATGGGGTTCTCTTTTCCTAGGATATTTTTTCTCTTTGGTGTATCCATTTCACACACTATCCAAATACTACCCTGACTCATTTAGTTCCTATAGATCTTTACTGTTGTCAAAATTCTAATGTATTTATAAGGAATTTGGCATAGTTTATCAATTAACTACTCTAGTGATTAGATGTGGGAGAGTCCAGGGCATCTTTCTTTTGGGACTTTGTAGGAAAGTACCGTCTCATAGTGTGCACATAGATATACTTCAACCAAAGGGCAATACAGTAGATTCAGATATAGAAGTGTATTAGGTAGGTAAATATAGAATGAGATTCATTACCTATGTTTATTTGTAGATATTAAAATATATTAATGGATTTTGAGCACTTACCATAAGACATAGAACTAAGTGTTTACATTATCGTAGTTCTTAGAACCAAGTGATTGGGTAGATGGTGCAGCTGAAGGTCAGAGTGGTTAACTAGCAGCTCATAAGCAATAGAACCCAGTTTAAACACAGGCGTTTTTTATTTTAAATACATGTACTTAAGCACTACACTGCACGTCATCTTGTTCAGCCTCATGGTTGGAGTTTTCACCGCTTGAGAAAATCTCCCTGTTTAAGTTCATTAACTTTAAATACATTAGATGCTGCTTGTTTCCAGCATAAACATTCAGTAAATGTTAGCCTTTATTTTGCTATTTTTCCAGATTACACTGAAGTGTTCATGACACTGTCTTTCCCCATATGCAAACTTAAATTTAAAGGCAGAATCAGCTATTTATAATGTCTGTAAAATCTGGATATTTGTGTGTTTTTAATATGTATTTGTGCTTTCATGAAGGCAGAGATTTAGAGAGTGAGAATGAAAAGTGAGCTATTTTGCTACTGTTTCCCGTCATCTCTTTAGTTAGAGGCCTGCACAGTGTATCTGGAGGGATACCTGACTGAGCTCACAAATGGGAATTAGGTGATGGATGTCAGAGGTATCCACAGATACCTCCACAGAGATATCAGACCCCTCAATGTCTTGGAAATGATTTTTAGTATTGATCTACTTTGCACATTTTCACAGCACAGGATTTTAGGTCCTCTTTTAAAGATCAATCATCTCATTTTTCTATAAATTTGGAGAATGACCGAATCATGGAAGGCATTAACACACTAGTCAATAGTTTTTATTTTTGTGTATACTATCTCTGTTCATTTAGATTATGTAATTTAAGAAGTAAAACGTTACTAGAGAATAACTCGTGAAAATAGGTGAAAGTAAAACTCTATTAATAAGTGAAAGTAAAACTCTAATTTTGGTATAGTTTCAGACTTACAGAAAAGTTGTAAGAATAATATGAAGAACTACTATATACCCTTTAACTTATTTTAAAATAGAGTAATTTATTTTAGAAATAGGTTTTTAATTTTAGCATTTGCTAGTATATTGATCATGTTATTACAGTTGTAGAATAAATTATAAATTTTGTAAACTGGGCCTACTTTCTCTCCCAAGCTTTATTGAGATATAATTGACATATAACATTGTATAAACAGTGTATACAATATGTTGGTATAATACATTATATATTGCAAAATAATTGCCACTGTGGCATTGCCAGCACTTATATCTTGTCACATAATTACCATTTTTGTGGTGAGAACATTTAAGGCTCTACATTTAATATTAATGCTTTCTGAAGGATTTTTTAAATCAAGATTTTCTTCCAGCATAATGTTACTCTTAGAAATGTTTGTCTCCTTGCATCCAGTCCCTGGCCCCGTACCTTGAATCCTCTCACAGTATTTTTACAGACCATTATTAAAAGATTCATGTGTTTTAAAGTTTTAAGTAAATCCCAATTTGGAGTTTGGGGCTGAACTACTGTTCATTGAAAAGAAATCAGTTACTATTTTATTAGGGTTGGAAATATGAGAACATTCAGGCAAATCCCAAGTGTAAGAATTCTAATTAAATAGGAAAAAAAATAAGCCTTATTTTATTTTGCAGCTGTAGAATTATGACATTATGGTGACAAAATGGAAGAGCTTTTATATGGTTTAGTTTTAAAATGATGCTCGAACCTGACTACATCAAAAGAGTATAGTTAAAGATATTTATAAGTTTAATATCCAATATATTATTTCATAGTTATAGCTTAGAATAAGAAATTTAAATATTCAAACTAACATCTTACCACATGTACTTGTTTTCAAATTATTCACATTGTTAGGATCAAGTGACATAATTTGTGAGAAAAACTTAATTATAAAGTAGAAAGACTACAACAGGCAAGATATTTTTATTTCACTTATAGAAGTGAGAGAACAAAAACTTTATTTAAATAAAGTGAATAAAAAAGCCATGCTTTTTCAATATTTGCATGAAATTATGCAGAATTTAATGTGTTTGTATTTTTAATTTCAGATTCAAAACGCTAATGATGTATTAATTGCGCCACTTGAGAAATTTCGAAAAGAACAGATAGGTGCAGCAAAAGTAAGTGTTACATTTTGTTATTCTTCAGATATTCTCTTGATAACTAAAGATGACATAATTTCAGATGTTAACATTTTGATAATAGAATGACCTTTTTAAAAATTCTGCACGTCATTTTTAACTTTTGCACAGAGCCTGTTACAAAGAATGGACTTCTTTTAAACATGAGAGAGATTCTTTCACTGAATAGAGAAAAAGTCAACATAAGAGTTCTTTCCTTCCCAACAATTATATAAGAAATTAACGATTTTATTTTTTATTTTTATTTTTATCTTTCGGAAATTAACTATTTTAAAGAGAGTGAAATTATGGCAAAAATATGAGTTTTGCTTTTAACAGCTATAAAATAAAAACTAGGCACAGGGTATATTGAAAATTCAAGCAGTAACTGTAAAGGAACTTTTGTTATTTTTTGTATTTTTTCATTATTAATAAAAACGTGTTTGTGGAAAACCTTAGACATATTTGTGAAGCCTTTGCATTGATGTTTAATTCATTATGTTCCAATTAAAATTTCCCTGAGCCTAAAATTTTCTGAAATTTACTTGCATCCTCTTTCTAAGACTACATTTTAACTACTTGTGTAACATTATGTAAGGACATAAAATTTAGGATTTCCAAAACAGAACTCATCGTCTCTCATCCTTCCTCTGTTTTGGTTTTCCAGTTAATCAATGGCATATACTGTCCCCATTGGAGCAACAGTGTTCACCATTCTACTGCTGAATTATTTTTCCTCCTTTTCTCCTATTCTGTCTGAAATATTGAAATAGCCTACTAGTTAGTCTCTACTCCTATCCTAATCTGTTAACACATTTTTCTTGTCTTTGATTGTCATTCTTTGACACTGAAACCTGCAATGGTTTTCCTTGAGAGACAGTTTAATCCTGATAACGAAAGCTTTTCACAATGTGGCCATTTGCCACATTTCAGTATACCTTCCTCATCCGGCACAATTGTCAGTTCACCAGTCTCTGTATATACCCTAACTTTATCCATGGCTTTGCCACACTTTTTGCCTCTCCTTAGAATATTTCTTACCTTTCACTAATTGAAGTCTTGCTAGCTCTACATGGCTTATCTCCCAGCACCAGAAAGAACCCTTTCTTATATAGGTCCTTCCTCATACATTTGTTCCCCTTCCGGAATTGATTTTTTTTCTTCTCACATAATCAAGTAGTCCTTATGCTTATTTCCTGTGTAAAAATATCATAGCCTGCCTTGAATTAGTTTTATGTGTACTTCTCCACCAATTAGGAACAATTATTAAATCAGGGACTAAGCCAGAACCATTTTTGTGTTAATTAATTCAGCAAATATTTATCATTGTCATGGTTGGCCTACTTGTGGCAATCATGGTGTTTAAGATTAAGGGATACAACTATAAACAAAACAGACATGCTCCCTGCATGTCCCTAATATCTTTTGTGGGAAACAGACACCAAAGTAATTACAAATGAACTGAGGATTTTGATGCAGAAGTGTAGAGTGCTTTGTGAGAGTAAGTGATAGAACTAGCCTTGTCCTGAGAGCCAGGAAACACCTTCTGGAAGAGGTATTGTTTAAGCAGAAAAGTAAATATAGAGAAAGAAATAGCTAGATATTGGGATGTAGGGATAGGAAGGGAAGAACCTTTCATATAGTCCCAAAGATGAAAGAGAGTGAGTGTGAGTAAAGGCCTTGAAGAAAGAAAGCTTGGCATATTAAAAGAAAAAAAACCTAATGTGCTTGGAATAGAGAGGACCATGGGGGTAGAAGACATGTACACAGCTTTATTAAAGGTTTATGAAATTTTATTCCTGATCGTAAGGGCAATGATAAGCCAAAGAAAAGTTGTAGTTGGAGGGGTGATATCATATATGCATTTTAAAATATCACTCTAGTTGCATGTTATACATGGATTAGAGGAGGCCAGACTGCTTGTGAGAAAACCAGTTTGGGGGCTATAGGATAGTGGCTTCAGATTCAGAAGGCAATGTGGCTAGGGAGACCAAAAGCTGTGTTTCAGAGGTAAAAAGGAAGGAGGCAGGAAATGGGTTAAATACTGGGAAGTGAGGAACAGGATATCTCAGAGATGACTCTCAGGGTTCTGGGCTGCGTAATTGGGTGGTGTTGGAACCACTTACTGAGATAGGCAACATTTATGTTTGGATGGCAAGAATGGTGAGTTTGACTTTTAGACATAATGAATCCAGGTTCTTTTCAGACATCCAAGTGGAGATGTTGACTTGCCAGCTGTGTAATCAGGTCTGAATTAGAAATACATTAGGAATTATTGCTCTCTAGGTGGTAATTGAAATCACGGCGGAGTAGATTAGATTCTGCTGGGAAAGAAGAGAATGAGAAGAGGATCTAGGTGCTGTATAATCTGAGAACTCTCGATATTTAATGTTTGGGGAGAGAAAAGCAAGATAGGTATGAAGGAAGGAACAGAAAGAAGAAGAAAATAACAAGAATTTGGTGTCCCAGAACAAGGAAGAGTCTTTTCAAGAATAAAAATAGCTGATCTTTGACAACTATATTGTAGGTGTTTTCACTGAGCAGTTACATTTGTGACCTAATTAGATCCTCACAAGCAGCCTGAGAGATGAGTGCCGATGTTACACCTGTTCTACAATGAGGAAAATGATGAGTGAGCAGCATCAGATCACAGAGCTGGGAAGTCAGACCATGACACTAAAATCATGCTATTTTCCTTCACAGCCTTGATTTACAATATTTTACTTCATCAAAGATGTTTTTATAAAATTAAAGAGCTTTGTGAAAAATTCTTTAGTACAGGAGATTCAAAGTTTTCTGGCCCATCTAAAATTGTGAATTTCACTTGTGTGTGGATTATTCTTGTTTAAAGGTTTAGCTACAGTTGCAGTAGTATAAGCAATCACACCCCTTTATTTTTTAAAATCTCAGTTGCTGGATAGACCAACTGAGAACACACAGCAGTATACTATGCCTTTGTCTACTCACTGGGAGGTTAAATTTGTGGCTAAATAAATTCAAATGAAATCTTGAGCATAAAGATTACTGCACTTGGTCTTTTGGTGGTGGTGATTCCGTTATTTTATCTGCCTCATGTTCTTAGTACTAAATTGTTTCTAAGCTGCTAAGAAGTCTTTGATTAGTAAAGTGAATAAAAAACAGGCATTCTTTTCTACAATATACATATAGGTCAGTTACCTTTTGGTATTGAAGAACATCTTACTAGTAGTAAAAATCTTTTGAAGGTCTTTATTTTTTCTATTGCTTTATTCCCTGTTTTACTTAAGCATTTTCTTACTTGGTAAATAAAGTTAATTCTACAAATGACATTCTGTTGCTTTTCACAGTCTTTATATAGTGGAGATTTCTTGCAAGCCTGTTCAAACCAGTGAGCCAGCTGGAAGGCAAGAGTGTCTGTTAAGTGTAGAACCTTCCACTGCAGTCAGCAACCTCCTTAGCCTGGTCCAAGTGGAAAACGCTGAGTCAAAGTGGCCCTCTTCTCTCAACCAGATGATCCTATTTAACTGGAGTGGATAAAGTCCACGAACCACAAACATTTCCTTTGTAGTGTGTTCTACGTAGCTTTGAGACACCTGATACTTTGCTGTGGAAAATGAGGCCCTGAGTGAGTTACAGTTGTGGGAAAAAAGCACTGTGCATCTGTGAGAGGCATTAGAAAAAGGTTAACGATGGGGTTGTTGAACTCAAGGACAGAGGAGATGGGTCCTGCTTTTTGTATAGCTGAAGATTAGAAGAATTATCTATAAACAGTTGTCAAGAATGTATTTATTTAAAGGTTCTTAGTCTAATGGTATATGCAGAATGGAATAGTATTGCAGGCTTGACATAGTGCATGTCAGGGTGTAGAATTTAGTGTTTAGTTTCTTTAATTCATCTGATAGACTGCTGATTTAAATACTATACATGAGTGGAAATAGGGATTCAGAACTATGAATGCCAACTAGAATTTCTACAATGTGAATGTATATAGAGCAGCATTATTATGGAAGAAGATGAATTATAACTTGTTTTCATGCTTTTTGTATAAATTGGCAGCTTTATTTCATTGATTATATTGGAAATCTTCTTGCTCCCAGTCAGTTGTAAATCATGTCTGCACTTTCTACATTTCTTTCTATATAAACTGTATAACTCCAAAAATATAAGCAGAACTCAACATTTGAGTTCCCAAAGACGGATACATTATGGGGAAGTGTGTGTGTGTGTGTGTGTGTGTGTGTGTGTGTGAGAGAGAGAGAGAGAGAGAGAGAGAGAAGAGAGAGAGAGAGAGAGAGAGAGAGAGAGAGAGAGAGATAGAGAGAGAGAGAGACAGAGAGACCATATATATATTACCAGACTTAAATATTTTAAGAGATGGAACTGACTTTCAGGGGGCCAAGCACTCATTTTCCACACGTAAACAGACCGAGCAGCTAGTTGGTGGCACAGTGAAGGCTAGAACGCAATTCCTCAGACCAGTGTCGACATAAGAATGTCCAAACCTGTAGAGAATTTTGCCTGGAAGCAAGATCTCAAATGCTCCCCAAAATGACCGTTTTCAGTTTCTTTTATTCATTTGGAATTAAGGCGGGAAGGTAAGGAAGATTATATGGAGGTGGGAGAAAGCAAAGTGGAGGTTGGATTACAGGATGGTTAACAAGATTATGTGCTCTCTTGGGGGTAGTTGCACTTCCTCTTCTGAAGGGTCTGAAAAAGAGGCATTTCAAAAGTATGTGAACCTAGATGCACAAAAAGAATGGGGAAGACTCGCGAAAGGCATATAGGCCTGGGGCGTGGTTACCCACCCACCATGACCTGCCCAGTTAGGATTTTATGATCAGATCACCCTGTGAGGTTACTGTCAGTCAGGTTTATTATAGAGCCCCTTATTCATTTATACCAGCAGTCTTTCCACTCCTCTAGGCTGCTCTTAAGAGTACTTTTTTGTGAGATATTTTATTATCTTTACCTTTAGCAAACAAATATCTAGTGTGAAATATCTTAATTATAAAAGTGCTTCA